ATTTGGTGAATTATTTATTTTTGGGAAACAAGACGTTGCGCTCCACGTGATGTTGAGCCTCCTGAGTCTATTTCATGCTTTGCAGGAAGCAAGGAGCCAACAGGACATTTAATCACTCAGTCGCTTGTTAAAAAGAGGACAGCGTAAGAGCTTTGCAGAAATTACAGAGAGAAGTAAATGCACAACTGGGGTTGATTTTTTTCCCACAGATTGGCTAATTATCCCCTTTAAGAAAATGGGTAATCCTGGTCCGATCCAGTCTGACTGTCTCTGGGTAGATTGCGAAGGATATCTTCATCCTCCCTTTCCTGCGTCCATTGGTCTCTTTTTCTATCCTTCCTTCATTTTACCCCACCGTTTTTTTTTTCTCTCCTCCTAAGTAACTTTAATTGTCCTGGGAAAGTCATGGTTGGCCCCAGGGCACAAAGCTCTGCATGCTTTCTAATGAATGTTCCAGTGGGGGGATTATGTGCAGCCATTGGCTGCCATGATGTAAGAAGTTGTGACAGAAAGGGCATGATTCTTCTTCCCGGTAAAGCACAATATGAAACCATCAAGATCAATGGTTCTACCTTTTATGATTTATCAATACTTTCTTTCAGATTTATAGATAATCTCCCTTAAGAGGGGGAGATATATATCAAATCTATAACCTTTGCATTGCTAGCACTTGATAGCAATCTCCTATTTATTATATATTCAACAAGGTCAAAAAAAAATTGATCAAAAGCAATGATTTCTTTTTCATATGCATTTTAAAGAAACTAAAAATAAGTATAAGGTTTCCAAAAAAATAAAATAAAAATAAAATAAAATAAAATTAGTTTTCAAAATTGATAATAATAAGAAAAGTTTCCTCAGGATTATATGACACTGAAGTAATTCTGCTAAAATTGTAATATTTGCCATCACATGAATTACTCGTTTAAATATATTTCTTTAGAAAACTGTTCTTTTAAATGGTAATATTTCACAGTATTACTGTTTTTATTTTTTATCTGCATCTTGGTGATCATGTGGTGATCATGCAGTAAGAGACTTATTTTACAAAAATTAACATCTTTTATAAACTCTTTAAATTCTTTCACACTCTAACTGTCGCTTTTAGATCATTTAGGAGGCATGTATGGCAATTGATCCCAATCAGATGTGATTTGCTTAAAAATCTTTTACAGTGTTTCTCAACACAATCACATGTTTAACATGTTTCAATGTGTGTGTGCATGTGTGTGAGTGTTCAGTGTCTTTGAGGGATACTGGAGGGATCAGATGAGAACTGAGTTCAGGTTGCCTCATGTCTGGAAGAAAGTGGAGACAGTATAAAGTAAGACAATGAGAGAGCAGAAGAAATGGTGAGCAGGAGAAAAGTGTTCTTCAGCAGCGAGTCGGATCAGAGCAGAGATCAGCCATGAGCAAAAGCTCCATTGCTCTCTGAATCCTGTTCTGTGCTGCGCTCCAGACAGCCTGCAGGGCCCCCCACGCAGACAAGCAGGAGTATGTGTGTGTGTGTGTGTGTGTGTGTGTGTGTGTGTGTGTGTAAGAGATGGATGGAAAGGGAAAGGAAGAAATTAAGTGTACAGCCAAGCAGCGTGCAACAATGTGTGTGGGTAGTACTTTAAGCGTGTGTGTGTGTGTGTGTGTGTGTGTGCACATGTGTGTGTGTGTGATGTGGTTAAATTGTTTTCTAGTAATGTAAGTGACTAACATCTGTGATGTGCATATACAGGAATCTTTTTCTTCCTTGTAGTTCGTTCATTCGTTCATTCGTTCCTTTAATTACTTAATTAGTGTTTATTTTTTTCTTTCTTTCCTTCCTTATTTACTTCTTTGTTCATATGTTCTTTTGTTTGTTCATTCATTTGTTCACTTTGTCAATTGCTTTCCTTTATTTGTTTGCTTGTTCAGTTCATCCTTCTTTTCTGTATTTCTTCTTTCTGTGTTTCTTTCATTCTGTCTTTCTGACATTCATTCATTCAGTGATGTGTTCATTAGTACATTCACTTTTTCTTTGATTTCTTTAATTGTTTTTTTTTTTTTCATTTTTAATTCCTTCCTTCTGTTTGTTTCCATTTTTTCATTCCTTTCATTATTTTTCTTTCTTTACGTCTTTTTCTTTGATTGTTTATTATTTTTGTCATTAATTTCTTTCTTTCTTTTCTTTCTTTCTTTCTTTCTTTCTTTCTTTCTTTCTTTCTTTCTTTCTTTCTTTCTTTCTTTCTTTCTTTCTTTCTTTCTTTCTTTCTTTCTTTCTTTCTTTCTCCATCTTCTGTCTGCTTGTCAAATCCTTCCTTCCTTCCTCAATGACATCCATCATTTCATTCATTCATTCATTAGTTTATTGCACTTTTTCTTTGATTCCTTTAATTGTTAATTTGTTCTGTCCTTCTGTCTGTATTCTTCATTCCTTCCTTTTTTTCTTTCTATGCATTTCTTTGTATGGTAGTTAATTTATTCATCACTTTATTCCTGCCTTCTTTCTACACAGTATTTCTTTCTTTCCTTCTTTCTTCCTTCTTCTGTCTGCTTGTCCAATGCTTTTCCTTCCTTCCTTCCTTCCTTCCTTCCTTCCTTCCTTCCTTCCTTCCTTCCTTCCTTCCTTCCTTCCTTCCTTCCTTCCTTCCTTCCTTCCTTCCTTCCTTCCTTCCTCATGACATTCATTCTTTTATACAGTCATGTTCATTAATTTTTCCTTGATCTCTTTAATTGTTTATTTGTTCCAATTTCCACACCTTCTTTCTTTCTTTCTTTCTTTCTTTCTTTCTTTCTTTCTTTCTTTCTTTCTTTCTTTCTTTCTTTCTTTCTTTCTTTCTTTCTTTCTTTCTTTCTTTCTTTCTTTCTTTCTTTCTTTCTTTCTTTCTTTCTTTCAGCCTGTCCATAGCTTCCTTTCTTACTTCATTCTTTCTTTCTCATTGTTCTTTCTATCCCTCATTTCTTTCTCGTTTTGTTAGTGTGTTTGACAGTGAAAGGAGAACGAGGAGAGTATCGATCCTCCCTAGTAGCAGAGTCAACCGCAGCCCCTGGAAGAGACTGAAGGGCAGAGAGAGCTTGACCCAGAGACTGCTCTCCATGTATTCACCTGCACTCAGCTGCAGCCCTCGGCACTATCAAGACAACCACACTTCCCCACACTCATCTTCCTCCAGAGACATTAGTGTATAAAGAGAGCACAATTACTTAATTGTTAATTACACAATTTAAGGCTGGGGACAGTGTGAACCAATTACAGTTGGCTCATTTCTTGACACATAAATTACATTCTCAAAATTCTAAGATCATTTTGTAAAACAGTCTTACAGTTCAGCACATCACTATACAGTAGCTCACTTGTAAAAGCTCACATCTCTCCCAAAACTGTTTACTCATGGTTCAAAACTATATTCCATTCCCTTATAAAGAGTCATTGTCACGGAAATGGAAAATATCCTTTTCAATTGCTTTGGCTCATTTTTTTTTTTTTTTTTTAACAGACCGAACATTATCAACACACTTGGTGAAATATCCCTCATGTCCATCTTTTAGTCTTATCCCAGTCCTTTTTTCCGCTAATGGCTTTTTTTTTTTTCACAATGGAGCAGGCACCTCTGATCTTGAGGCTGATGCTCATGCACTCTCCATCTCCAAGCGGAGAAATAGGATTGAGAAAAGGAGAGTACGGTGGTAGGAACACCATGACTATCCTTGGATGAGTAGTGAACCAGGACAGTAGTGAACATTGTCCCATATAATGACAAATTTTGGTAGGTGAGGCCCTACGACACCTCTCTCATTTTCAGGGATAAAAATTAAGGTGTTCCAAGAACATGAGGAGCTTCTGTGTATTGTATGGGCCAAGACTGGGACATCCTCCGATGCCCGGTGGCCAATAATATTACGGCCACGTATTCGGCCCTTGGTCAGGTTGACTGACTGCACACCTGGTTTCTCTGCAAAAGGTTTGGATGATGGAGGAAACTGTAGAGCGAGGCAAATTAGGCTGCACTCTGTGACCTGCTTCCGCCATTATGAGGCCATGGTTGATGACATGGTCTACAGTATAATTGTGGCCTGAATTTCATCTGAGACAGCATGGTGTCTTTGTGCTCCTCGGCCTCTTCTCCCTATTCCACCACCAAGTACTACTCCTCCTACTCGTCTTCTTCTTCTTCCTCCTCTTCATCTTCCTTGAGCTAGCAGTTGCCCTTGTTCATTTACTTGGCCAGGTGCCTCCATTGGGCTGGTCCTGCATTGTCAAGCTCTTCACATACATGTTTAGAGCATTCACAGTCATGGACAGCATCTGACAGGTAACTAAACATACTGTTTTATTGGTCATCTGAGATGTGTGAAACTCCTCCATCATTAGTCAGGTTCTAGTTTAACCCTGACTGTCAATTGCTGTAATAAATTTAGCAAATGCATGGTATTCATTGTATGAGAAAATGTGAGCATTTGCCAGGTGTTTTGGTGTTTTGGTGGTTTGGAGGTACCCCCCCCCCCCACACCACACACACCCGACAATCCTTACCCCACTTAGAACGTTTGATCTCTCAAATATGTCAGAAATGTTTCCATACTCCCCTCTGATGGCAGCAGCATCAGGGTAAACCTAATCCTATAAGATATGGAATTGAATTGAAAAGCCCAAGGAGGTGGAAAGCTGCTTTCTGTAAAGAAGGAAAGGCCAGACTGATTGGAGGGGAGCTTGTCCTGTGGAGATTCTGTGATTCTGGATTCTGTTATATAAAGTGTACTGATGATTGAAAAGGTTTGGGTACGGGGCTTATGTCACGGCTGTCAAGTCCATATAACGTTGACAGGCCGGGGCCTTTTTACCTCTTTCCCCGCTCCTCCTCCCCCCACCCCATGCTTGACAGCGCAGCGTGCAGAGTGTGGGAAAGGGCGGCCCAGGCACGCGCCAGATAAGATCACACAACAAACTGCCGGGGCCTCTCCAGGGAGTGCCGCGCATGCTTTCAGAGGCAAACAGGCTCCCGCTGGCACGTAGAGAGGCCTGGACACACACACGCACATACATTGGCTCGCTGTTGTAGGGGCCCTTGAGAAGAAGGCCGAGTATGTCATCTCTCATTTCCTGTCCACTCACCCTCCATTTCCCCCTTTCTCAGTGTGAGTCATTTTGGTTAGCAAGTCCAAGCATTTTTTTTATTCACTGTTTATCTTTGAATGGTTCTTTTGACTGTTACTGTGTTGTTTTGTTTGTTGCCATTCGTGGACCTCTCATTCGACTTCCTGTCCTGATCTATTCAGATTGGTTTCCTTTTCTTCTTGTGCTCTTCGTCTGTCCGAAAAAAAGAAGAAAAAAAAACTCATGCCTGTGGTAAGTAAAGACATTTTATTGCTTACCTGCTACATACTTGGCAGCTGCATACTCTACACAGAGATTGTTCATTTTTCCAAGTGATTTTTAACAATAACTTGACCTTTAAAAACCATCTGGAGCTCCAGTTTGTTAATTGATAGTATGCTTATGTTGAATACTTATCAATATATTATTCCTGTCAATTTTATGAAAACCATTTTTAACCCATAATTCATTGTGAAGGACTACAATACCCATGATCCTGCAGAGTACATAGAGTAAAATCCTGCAAATTCAGAGAAATGCGGCAGACACATTCCCCATGAAACACTGTGATTGCCTTTTTCAAGTATTTAGACTTGTAAAATTTTTGGATTTGTAAAAAATTATATGATGAAAAATATAATTTTTTAATGTTGTTATTCGCTTCAAGGATGGTTGATTTGGTTCTTGTCTTAGATCACTTATGAAAAATCTATAAGAAAAACACATTGAGGTGTAACTTCTAAATAAATAAGCCTATATAAAAAAAAAAACGTATTCAATCCAATACTGAAAAGTGTGCTACAGTATTTTAAGTGTTAGCTTAGCAAAATGCTAATGTCCAACTGTATTGAAATGTGGAGTGGAGTCCTCTGTGCAAAATGTGAAGTTGCTGACAATGTAGAGTGTTTTCAATTTGGGCAGTTATGAGGTTGGTTAAGATGCCTTTGTAGAAAATCAGCAGTGAACCAGCTCACTAGATTTTGTTAGGATTCACTGTTTTGAAGGATTCACTGTTATAGTATGATGTGTAAACTTGTCGGGGGAAGAAATCAATCCATCTGCCCATCGTATTCTTCCATCTCTTCTCATCCACAGTCTCACAACTCATATATTATCAAGCTATGTGTTGTGTTACGCTGCCTCACCATCCTCCTCAACACACGAGCAACACATTTTACTAAGCCATTTTGTCTTATTTATGTAATTCATATTTATGCAGATTGTAAATGCTACCGAGTATGTTTTTAGGCATCCGTAAGCAGTCATAAAATGTGCGTGTTGGTGAGCGTTTCCCTGGTGTCTCTTTGTGAATGTCTAAATACTCCTCCAAAACAGAATTAGGTGGCAGAGGTCAAGAGAGATACTCTTATCCCAGAGCTATGTACTATCTTTCTCCCTCTCTTTTTCACAGAGACAAGGAGCTCACTCATACAAAGGGAGTTTGAGAAGCTATTCTCCCAGGTACTTTCTCCTAATGGCAAACACTGCACACCCACACACACGCCTACTTGCGAAGAGACACACAGGCCAAAATAAAGATCAACACACAGACTGACAGGCACATACAAGGAGTTACGTATTATCGAATGTGAAAGCTTATTCAGGGCACACACAATTTGAGCATTCGCACGCTTGATTCTTGCCGGCATGTCAGAATAGATTTCCTTCCCTTTAACTAAATATTTACATAGGTTTGGACAGGGGTCAGGTTGGTGAAAACAAAATAGACAGTTTTTTTCCGGTGGAAGACAGCTGCCCACATAGTAGGATCTTAAAGGCATTTGTATGCTAGATATTAAAGGTATCACTCAAAAAATTACAATTCTGCCATTATTTACACACCCTCATGTTGTTCCAAATTAATATGGATTTTTTTTTTTCTGTAATGCTGAAAAAGAGATATTGAACTCTATGACTTACACTGAATGGACAAACATATCTTCTTCTGTGTTCCATTGAAGAAAGAAATTCATAAAAATTTGGAATGGCTTGGGGTCAAGTACATGATAACAGAATTTTCGTTTTTGGGTGTCCCTTTTAATATTGATTTGTGTGATTTTGAGCTTGAATTTTAGGTAACAATGACTTTCATAGTATGGCAGTTGACAAAAACAGTTGAAACATTCATTAAAAATATCTTCTTTTGTGTTCCACAGAAGCAAATAACAGCATATGAGTTTGCAACAACATGATGGTAAATAATGAAAGATTTTTCATTTCTGTTAGGTGTTAGGTACAAATAGTAAAATAATTATTTAATTAGCTAACGAAAAAAATACAATAAATTAGACCAAAAACTTGGACTTCTCACCAACTGTCACAACAGTTTGAGAAACGTGGGGTCAGTGGAAGGTCTGCTCTAATGGGTGATCCTGTGCAGGGTAATTGGGGCCCTGCAGATCAAACGGGAACCTTCATTAGCAGAACTCAAGGGGCCACTAATCCAACATGTTCACACACACCAGGAGAACAGAACGGATGGGGTTGATGAGGGTGTAAGTGTGCAAAGGGGGTGCTCTGCCTGGCGCCCGCCTCGGCGAGCAAAACATCTCACCCATAGATCAAAGACCCTCAACATCTCTGAGCCGTCCTGGGAGGAGAAAAAAAAAAGGAGAAGAAAAGCAGAGAGAACTAGTACTTCTTGTGACTGGCACAAGGTAATCCACCTCGTGCTTATAGATGAGCCGGGGACTTACGGCTAATAAATTCATACTCGTTTTACTGTAATATTACTGTAATGCTGAAGGTTTGTTTCCTTACTCATGCTCTTTGATCCCAAAGGAAGCAGAAACCAAAGTCGCAATGAAGAGGAGTAAAGTGATGACAGGAGGTCTGACTCCAAAAGCGGCTCCTAATTATCCCTGAAGTTACTGTGTCAGAGGTAAGAGAGGGCTACAGCCCCTTCCTCCGTTTCCTGCCTTTGTTGCTGTTTTGGGGCACACGGAATTAGCACCAAGCTGATTTCCAGCCCTCTTTTACGTTTTTCTCCCAGGGCCGGGCTTGCTCGGTCATCTGGAGATGTTTTCATCTTGACCCTGACCAAGGGGGGTTCAGGAGCCTCGCTTAATTGCCAATTTGTGATTCAGTTGAGTCCCATTGCAGATGGGCACTCAAGTAAGAAATGATTTGGCCTCCTTTCATCAGCTGCCCCACCCTGCCACCCGCCCCATTTTTTTTACTCCCTTCCTGCTCGGGTGTCTCTTTCCAGTTTCTCTTTTTCCTTCTCTTGTCGTCTCCTAACCCGTGTTTTAAATCAAAGCTAATGGGTGGTCTGTCGTTTGCGAAGGCAGTTTTTGGTTTCCCAAGCCCTGTGCTTTTCTGTGCTGAGATTCTAATTGCCAAGAGGGTGACCTCCTCGTTCCTTTAAAATCACACCATGCAGAACGTTTATTTAGGAGGCACAGGGGAGAGGAAGAGGCAGGGCCACGTGGCCTTGGCTGCCACTTCAAAGCCTGGTCGCAGAGAGGAGGAGGGAAGAGGCGATGTTCAATGATTGCTTGGGAGAAACCGAAAAAGCACAACAGTCACATGACAAGATCAGCAATCCCGCTCCACCGCACACAAACGCCAAAAGCACATCCTTTGTTTAGATTTATTGAAAATTCTGTCAGAAATGAGCAAGTGCTCTTAATGATAGTGCCAGACAGCCACCTGTTTCATGGACTTTCACCGTCACAGTGGAGTGAAGACCTTCTTGATGTTTATCCCAGATGAGTCTTACAGATGGTGAGGGGGAAACAGTACAGGATGTTGGACTCACTGGTCAATTGTCAAAAGTGGGCGTTGCGTGACTCATTTTTGTCAGATATGAATTTTTTGTCTGGATAGGAATGAAATGGTAAAATCTCAATATCTTAAAGCCAGGTCATGTTACAAGTCCACTACTGTTTAAAAGTTTAAGGACTGGTTACTCCAGTCACATCATCCTTTAAATCATTCTAATATGATGATGTGATGCTCAAAAATATCTCTTAATATCTAAAATCTTGATGAAAACAGTTGTGCTGTTTAAATATTTTTCTGGAAACCATGATACATTATTTATATGGTTTTGATCAACAGAAAGTGCAAAAGGACAACATGTATTTGAAATATAAATGTTTTGTAACATTATAACAGTGCCCCTTTGATTAGTTTATTGCAATTTTGCTGAATAAATGACGAGAAGTTTACACGAGAACGCTAGCGGGTGAAAACGTATAAATATTGTAGGCCGAGTCGGTTACATACATGTTACCAAGTTGGTACAATGTAACAAGTACTTGAATATGTTACTAAGGTAAAAAGCCTGCACACTGTAAAAAATATTTTCAAGATTTGTTATCACAACATATTTTCTTTTGTCAAATTAACTTTATAATAATTTATTTAGTTGAGATAACATATTATTTTGCGTTTCTGATGGTTAAATTCATCTACTTCATTGTATTAACTCACTTTTTCCAGTTCAATCAACTTAAAATTTTAAGGCAACCCAGGTTACTTACTTTTTTTTAAGTTAAACCAACAATATTTTTTTACAGTGTAGTAATCACAACATTTTTTTCTTTTGTCAAATCAACTTTATAATAATTTATTTAGTTCAGATAACATATAATTTTGAGTTTCTGATGGTTAAATTAATCTCCTTCATTGTATTAACTCACTTTTTCCAGTTCAATGAACTTAAAATTTTAAGGCAACCAGGTTACTTACTTTTTTAAGGTAAACCTTCAATATTTTTTTTTTTTACAGTGCAGTTACACATGGTCATTTTTACCTTCTAAAATAAAGAGTATCAAGGTTGTGCTTAAGTGCACTTCATGTGTATCAACATACCTAATCCACCTGAATTAACTAGTTTACAGCTCAAATAAATGCAGTAGCTTCTTGATTACATTCAATTTACAAAATATTACACATGTATAAGCTATGCAAAATGAAGTGTATCAATAGTGTACATGAGTATCTACAAACCTTATCCATATGTACTTTAGTTTGAATTAGGCCTAACTCCCTCGTTCATAGCATAAATGCATGTGGTAACTTCCTAATTACATTGCAATTACATAATATTACACAGGGATAAGCTATACATAAAATAAAGTGTATCAAGATTGTACTACACATGAAGAACACTTAAGTAAAATCTTGATACACTTTATTTTAAAAGGTACAAAATGACCACGTCAAACCGCAGGCTTTTTTCATATTTAAGTACTTGTTACATTGAGTAGTACAAAGTACTTTCTTATATAATTACATTGTACCAAGTCGGTAACACGTAAGTAACCGACTCGGCCTGTTACATGTGTAACAGTACCTGCCTAGTAATTACAATCTGTAAGTACAGGCTATTACATAACTTAGTTAAATGTTAATTACATTTTGCCACATGTTATTGCAATGTCTACTAAGTATTTAATTAAGTAATTACTATGTATCACGGAAACCGTAAAATAAAGCGTTAACCACTTGGTTTATAGTGTATTTGTTACACAATGTTATATGTAGTTACTGTTGTAATAACTATGCATTATGCATAGTTACATGCAACTAACCCTAAACCCTAACCTTATAGAAAGTGTAACGTCCTGGTAGTAGTTGAAAGCACAAGATGAAGATGAGGGTAAACACAGTCTTTACTGATCAAACTCAGGCAGGACAGACACAACCACGTTCAACATCAACGAGACCTGGCAAGGGACTGAACATAACAGGGAGTATAAATACACAGCATGAAATGAAGAAACTACAGGTGGAGGAAGATAACTAATCAGGGACTAACAAGAACACGTGCAGACAGAACGTAATTGTGACAAGTACATGTTAATTATTATTACTCTGCTATGAACTTGAACAGACAGATAAAGATTGGTCGAAACATTCCTTTTTGATAATAACTCTACTAACTTTTAGCCACTTACAGTCTTCATTTTTGGGCCATCACGTGTTCATTTACTCAGTAGGTTGACACTTTTGTTGAGTGTCATTAGAAAGACATTTTCTACATTTAAACACACTTCCTCTCAGCACAAATAAACAAGACAGCTTTCCCTCCTACACACCAGACAGACTCTAAAAATACGCACAGACACGCCTGCACACACTCGTACACTCACCCTGGACGAGAGAGGGTTAAGAGCACAACGTGGGTTACACACACACACCCCTCCCTCTATATCTCCACACCGGTGCGAGTGCCAAGGGCGGAACACCACCCCTTCGAACACACACACACTCATAAATACACACACATACACACATGTACCCTTGCCACCCCCCTTCCCTCTCTCTTCTCCTCTCCTCCGCCAGGCTGTGCTTCTGACGCTCAGTACTGGCTCAGGCCCCACCGGCCACAGGCTGTGGAATGTGTGAGAGCCATGTGTCAAATCCCCAGACTGTGGGAAAGTGCTGCTCTCTGCTGAACTCTCCCCCTCTCCTCCCTCCCTCGCTCTCTCTCTCCACCGCTCTCTCCTCTGGCACTCTCCCGGCGACCGCCCTGCCCCACGTCGGCCGCACACAGGAAATGGAGGGGGCTGCCAAAAGCGCGTCGCCTGGAACTATGACTTCCGAAGAACGTTTTCACGCCAATACCCGCCCCCCCCCCCCCTCCCCTCCTTCTCTCTTCTCTCCCGTCTCCCACCCTCCTACTAGTCTTCTTGGCGGGTGAACTGGGCCTAAGGAATAGAGCTGTTTCTTTATCATTTTCTGTTGCAAGTGTCTTTAAAAAAAGATTTTTACCACCAGGTTTATCTATTTGTTTGTTTGCTTGTTTGTTTGTTTGTTTTAAAAAAGTATATTTTTGTATTTTGATTGATTTGATTGATTAATTGATTCGTTCATTCATTCATTCATTCATTCATTCAATTGATTGATTCATTCATTCATTGATCATTCAAAACTTTCAGATTTGTTTGTGTCTTCATTCATGCTCATTTTTTAAAAGTTATCTTCTTTGAGTAACAAGGCTCTTGGTTTATATACTTATTTATTTCCTGCAAGAGCATATTTTATATAAAAAACTTGATTTGATTTGTAGTCTTCGAATATTCATGCATCATGAGATTGTGAATTTCTGTCACCTAAACAGACTGATTGACAGATTGAGACTTAAAATGTACATTGACAAGAGTGACAAGGCAGGCCATGCCACACATATGCAGGAGAGTGTCCGAGAACCGAGACTGTATATAAAATATAAATACTGTTTAAAAAAAAAAGCTGGGAACAAATGAAAGAGAAGAGTGTTTGCCTTTCCCTTATCTAGAAATCGTTCTAAAAATACCACTGTACACCTGCCACAGACCAGCCATACACTATGCCTCATGAATAGACACACACACAGATTTAAAGCTAATGACATCAACAGCCGCTGTTCATGTGTGTTCTCATGATCCTCCCAGTAAGTGTGTGGGAGGGCAGAGGTCAAAAGGCGCCAACTGATCCTGCTCACTCGATGACAAACAATAACAAGTGCAAGTGGCAGCACTCACTCAAAAATGCTGTTAACCACTATCTTGGACAGCTCACTCATGGCATTTCAATGCGCTTATGGTTTTGAAAGCCTATAGGCTCAGTTCTGAATGAACAGAGGTGCTTGAGTCTTGTCAATTTTGGGGGGCAGCCGTGACAGTGAAGTGTTCTGGAAAGCATCCACCTTCCTGTTTGGCAGTGTGGCATTTCAAAGACTGCTGAATTGGCACAATAAGAATCAGTTCTCTGTGTAATGTTTGAACACAGTCACAGCAGTTCAACGTCAGTCACTGGACCTCGAGTTCTCACTGGTAACTCCAACACCACTCCGAACTGTGGGAAAAACTCGAAGACTATATCTACCTCTGTTAATTTTATGGACCAGTGCCACCTGCCAGGTTTTTTCACAGGCTTTTCAAAAGTTAGACATTCAATCTGTGCATTTTGTTCATTTGATCCGACTCCGGTAGATTTAAACAGGCAAGCTGAAATATAATGGATGGACTCAAACTTAAATGAGGCACAGTTCATAAGCCACTGAAAATCGAACTTACGGTCACACTTACGGTAGTTTAGGGTCCAATTATCTCTATTAACATACTATCAACTACAACCTTTGCCTCAATAAACTCTTAATAACGGCTTATTAATTTTTAATAAGTTGTTAAATTTAGGTATTTGGTATGATTATGTAGAATACCTTCAGACAAATGTCTGAAAAAAACTATATATATATAAATTTATATTAAAATATAAAATATATATATTAAAAATATATATACATTTTTCAGACATTTGTTATGAATGTCACTTTGCAATGAACTATTAGCTAGTTGCTTATTAACATTCTTATTACCAGGATATTGGCCGTTTATTAATACTTATTTTAGTACCGTTTATTAGTACTTATTCTGAATTACCTTATAAATTATATTAAACACAAAACAGTTTTTTAAATAAACAAGGGATTAAATAGGCTGTTAGTTTACTAAAAACGTGTAATGAAATTAATTATACAATATGCCAATTAATCAATCAATCAAATTAATCATATTCTGTAATAATATTTGCACATTTTAACATGTTAATTTGTCATTTTTATCAGTTGTAACTAATCATATAATATGATTAGTTATAATATAACTAAATTAACATTTTAAATTTGTTTTTCTAAACAATAAATCCCAAATCAGCTTACATACAGCTCATCCACTCCATGCGGAACTTCACACTAAGCCTCATATATTACGCTTATGAAAATCATGTTAAAGATTAGTTGACCACACTTGGTTGGGCACAGAGACCAACTGAAGATCAGGAGGTCTTGGTGGTATTTAGAGGGGAATTTGTGATCCAACTGGGAACAGCTGTCCTGACCTCAAGAACATGCAATACAAATGTCTCTAATAGTTTATGCCTTATTGCAGCAATGCGGCTAAATGAAGACCTGGTGTCTGAGTATCCTACAAACAAACAACAGTCCTTGTGTGGTGGCACACAATGTTTTGAATATGCTGTAAAGATCCCTTTTTGATTATTTATTTTTTTTTTTCAATTAAGTTATGGTCACGATAAATAGCTGTGTGTTGTTACACCACTCTCCTACCAAGTCACTTGCAAGTTCTCAAAAATGCCTGGGGGACATGTGGTTACACGTGATTTAGCACTGCAAGGATTATCAGCTGTTTTTCCTGTCCCTCTGTGGCACTGTCGCATCTTACATTACGGATATTGCAGTTTATTGCTTTGGTCACATCTGCAGTCCTCATGAAGCAGGTCCATGACATGTTCACACAGGTGGTCAGAGACCCTGCATCTTTCTCCTGGTGATTTTCATAGTCAGTAGAAAGGTCTCTTTATTGTCCTAAGTTATTTTAACTATGCCTTTAATTGTCTATTGCCTGTTAGGGCCCTATTCCAATGATCTAAGTGCATAGTCTAAAGCACACGGAGCAAATGCACTTATGTGTCCAAATCCACTTTTTCTTATTTAACGACACATGGTCTAAAAGGGTTGTTCCTATTCTCTTAAAGAGTAATGGGTGTATTTTGGGCGTGGCGGATTTTCGCACCATGGAAGATTCGCTATTTACTTTACGAATTTGCAAGCGGAAAGACTGAACGCTTCTCCAGAGAGGAAACGTATCTGCCTGCGCTCAAGCAGACCATATATTGGACAAGCTGGATTTCACCATATCTTTATGTACAGAATATTAATATTTTATATTGTAGTTTCCGGCTCTTGCGCAGACCGAAGTACCCTTGCCTTCAGATCACTTGGACGTGGCTGTGGTTACAAGAGGTAAAAACGATCTAAATACTGTTCGTTTTCTCACAAAAACCGTTTGTTTCGTGTCTTAGGCCATCAATGTGTACTTACATTTACGAGTCATTAAATCATGTTTAATTTGGACTTCTCTGTGCATGCTCTTTGAGGTGGACCCAGGGTGGACCCCATAAACCATGGACCTCCATTATATGACTGACAGACAAGAACAGTTTGACCTAAAAAAAATATCAAAATTGAAAATACTGTGGAAACAAATACACCTACATCTTGGATGCCCTTGAGGTAAGCTAAAACATATCAAAAATTAATTTCAAAGTGAACTATCCCTTTAAGGACTTTTCTACTAGTGCATGTGCAATGATTGTTTATGGTTCATTAAACAAAGCATTTTTTAAACCCTTTCCAATAAAGATATGTAAAGCTTATTTGGATATTACATCATTATCTTTAAAATAAGTGAAAAATAAAATGGACAAATATTGGGTTGAAAAAATCAACAACAGCTTGCATTTAACATGTCAATACTGGCTAATCCACGGCTTTTTTGCATTAAACGATTCAAATATTTGTCGGGTGATTTATTGCCTCGATGTCATGCATTAAAATCATTGTAATTGTGAATTATATTGCTCAATATATCACTGAATATGCTAAAACGTTATTGAACTACTCCTGCTTATAAGAGAACAGAGATAAGATATCATGGATCCTCTTAATTAGAAAGATTATGAAATGATAAACAGCTGATCCAGTGCCAGCAAAAGTGCCATTGTTCTAACCAAAACCCTATTCTTGTTCTTGGTTACCTGTAGCTAACGTCCACTCTAAACTGCCATCTGCTGCGCTGAGCCAGTGCCAGTGAGAGAGCAAGCGAGTGGAGGAGGGTAATGAAGGGTAACTTTGGGGCACGCTGAGGCACAGCGTGAACCTCCTTCTTGCACCCGGGAAGTTGAATAACCACCACATGCCCCACATTGGCCTGGCATTCTCCCATCAACTCTGGCCTCGGAGCGTTTTGCCAGCTTTCAGCCACTTTTCCCACACTCTACCCCAGAAGAAAGATCATCGGGCTTTCCCATAGGTCGCCCGCCTGGTCTGCCACTAGCCACCTCCTCACCCCCAGCCTCCTGGCGTAATCCTCCTTGGCACCCACGACCGGGCTCAATTCAATCCCAATGACTGGCTCACAAAAAAAAGGCCGAGCTAGGCCGGAGACATGGGACCAGGCGCCTGTGTATTGAACCCTCTGTGGCTCGAAAACGCCTACGACCGCCGTACAATAGCTGAAAAAAAAGAGGGGAATGAAACGCTTGTCTGTCGCCGTCAGCCTTCAGTTGGTGAGACCTGCTGGGGATACAATGTGAGAGTGAGCGTGTGTATGTGTGTGTGTCAGCATGCTGACAGCTTTTCTGAAGCGGTGTGTCATCCGTGAGGAGACACGCTGGCGGAGCACGAGCTTGCCCTCTCTTTCGCACACATCTTCCCTCAGGAGGGTTGTTGTAAAAGTGCCACCTTTAACTGCACAGTAACACCAGTATATAATTGATAAGTAAATGGAATTTTCAATCTTGTGTTATAAGCTTGATGACATCATATTATGTTGGTAATTTATTATCAAAGATGTCTGTAAAAAAAAAAAAACCTTTAACCTTTCATTGAAGTAAAAGAATTGAAAATCATATTGTGAAATGAATGCTTTTCTCCAAAAACGTTGGCTATAATTATTCATTCAATACTTTTTCGACCTCCTTTGCCAAGATAACACTTTTGAGTTTTCCCCTATAATGCCTGATGAGTTTGAGAACACCTGACAAGAGATCAGCGACCATTCCTTCATACAGAATCTCTCCAGATCCTTCAGATTCTGAGCTCCATGTTGGTGTTTCTTCTCTTCAATTCACCAGACTCATATTCTAGGGTTCAGGTCATGGGATGGTCATGGCTGAAGCATCATTTTGTGTTTTGATATTTGTTTTGGATTGTTGGTATGCTAGATTTCTAGCAGAAATGGTCAGGTTATGTTTATCTGTTGGTATTTGCTAAAATCCATGATGCCATGAATCTGAACAAGATGTGCAGGACCACCAGCAAAACAAAATAGGCCCACATCATTAAAGATCCAGCAGTATATTTAACCACGGGCACGGGGTACTTTTTATCCCTGTTTGCGCCAAATCCATCTGTTGGGATTGCTGCCAAAAAGCTCTATTTTAGTTTCATCGGACCATAGAAGCAGGTCGCTTTTGAAGTTCCAGTCGTGTCTGAATATAACTGAATATGCTGGAGTTTGTTTTTGGATTTTTCTTGAAACCCTCCCAAACAACATGTGGTGGTTTGCGGTTGTTTATTTATTTTTTAATAACAAATTGGGGGCTTTCTCAGCCCAAGACTCGACTAGTCTCTGAAATTCCCCATCTGTGATCCTTGGAGGGGCCTCTCAAACTCTTCCCCTTAATGTATTAGGATGATAAAGACAATATCCCCTTCCAGGCAGATTTGAAACATCTTTAGTTGAATGAATTGTTTAATCATTGCCCTGAAGTTGGATATGGGAATTTTCAATGCTTTAGTTATTTTCTTACAGCTCCTTTCTATTTTGTGAGGCTCAACAATATTTTGCAGCACATCAGAACTATATTCTTTGGTTTTACTCATTTTGATGGATGATTAAGGGAATTTGGCCTTTGTGTTTCCTCATATGTACTTCTGTGGAACAGGAAGTCATGGCTGGACAATTTCATGCAGTCATCCTGGTGTGCTAAAATTACTATTTTACTCATAAACAATTCTAGCGGTGCCAATAATTGTGTAAAATGTGTTTAGGTGAAAAACATTTATTTCATAATTTGAGAATGTTTGTGAAAAAAGTCTCTTATGCTCATTGAGAATGTATTTGTTTAGAAATACAGTAAAAACGATACTATTGTGAAATTGTATGACAATTTAAAACAACTATTTATTTTATTATAAAATGTAATTTATTCCTGTAATAGCAAAGCTGAATTTTCTTCAATAATGTAAAATTTTTTCTGTAATAATGTAAAAGTCTTTGACTTTGATGTAATGTTTTTAGAAATAAACCATCCTTGCCAAAATTGATCATTTATTTATTTAAAAAAAAATAAAAAATAAATTAGGGCTGTGCAAAAATTAATTGCGATTAATCGTATCCAAAATAAAAGTCTGTGTTTACATAATATATTTGTGTGTGCTGTCTATAATTATTTTGTATATATAAATACACACACATGCATGTATATATTTAAGAAAATGTGTTATTCATATATAAAATATTTATATTTATATAATATAGATTGTGTATTTATAAATATAGCATTTAAGCGCAAATAATTCTTAAATATATACATGCATGCATGGTATTTATATATACTAAATAATTAAATAATTAATAATTACAAAATAAAAAACAGCACACACAAATATATTATGTCAACACAGACTTTTATTTTGAATGCAATTAATCGCAATTAACTTTTGCACAGCCCTAAATTAAATTAATAAATTGTACTGACCCCAAACTTCTGCATGGCTTCTGCATATATTCTAGTGTGTTAGTATTCATAGTTTCACTTTTGTTTCTCTTCTTTTGAAAATTCTGGTTTTACTGCTAGTCATAATAGTTTCTTAATGATAATAACTTGCAAAACAGGCTCAAAATGCTAAATACTCAGACTGACGCAAAACCATGAGAGAGAGGGATGTTTATCCTGGTAAGAGTGTCATGGGTGGTTTACAACCAATTAGACAATCAAGTTTGTCAATCAAGACAATCACAGAGATTATTGTCTGTAATCACCAGTTCCTCAAAACATCCTGCCTTAAATGAACATATACTCCTACACACATCATCACACACACCTACAGTACATGTTCAGACCAGGAGTTTTTATATGAAAACCCAGTATTATAGAAGAACTGAAATGATGTTCCAACATGCCATTTTTTAGTTCACTTCAGCTGTGTTATTGTTTCTGATGAATCTGAATGTCATAGCATTGTCTAACAGATCAACTGTACAAATATGAGGAAACAGCATACTGTATATCAGGTGCCCTGGGCCAGTGTGGGACTGGTGGGAGTGGCAAGGCGCCAGGCTGCCCTTATCAGCCCCTACGGCCCAGTCACCACTCCCGAGAGATGGTGGGGGGGAAGCGAGGAGTCCCTTTGTTGTTTTCTCTGATCTACGACCGGCCTTTATAGCATGCTCTAGATCACTATCACTGTGGGAAAGACAGAAAGAAGGTCCAGGGAGGGTGTGTGTGTGTGTGTGTGTTTATATGTGTGATCAACTGAACAACCTCTGCCTTTGACTCTCCGACTACTATCGCAGGGCCTGCCGCTGCTGATATTGCTCATAAAGAAGCTCTCAGCCAGCTGCAGGGATGATAAGAGTGAACTTTGACCTCTCGGTTCACCAGTCACACTAACAACACCGACATCAATGAAGTCATGAGGTATGACGACCCATTATAGGCAATATATGACAGAGGCAGGGGAAACTACATTTATCTTGTCATTTGAGTTGTGAACATAATATGAGATCAAGTGCAAATAAATGTGCATTGTCACATGAATGAAACTCATGGGATATCAGGGAAGGAATATCATCACTCTTGTAACAATGTTAATAACTTGTGATAATAAAATAAATGTAAATAAATAATTTCACTAAATATATGTTAAAGGGATAGTACTTTTCAGTAATGAAAATATACATTTTTCACCCTCATCTCCCAGACTTTCCTTCTTCCGATGAACACAAATGAAGGTTTTATAAAAAAAAAAATAAATAAATAAAAAACTAAAACTATAAATATCTGTGATCATGTAATTCAAAGTTGATGCTTAGAAAACCAAACAAACTGAACTTGATGCTAATTTGACCTTTGAATCATTGTCTTCTAATGCTAAACAATAGGTGTGTGTAAGAAAAAAATACAAATATAAACTTTTTTAAT